GAGGTATTCCACTAACGGTGCAGCTAGAACAATAGATCCTAATCATATAATAGAAAGTCAGTAAGCCCAAAAAGCAATGCCCCAGGTTTTCTGGACTTTTGGTTGCGGTCATACTGATTTCTATAATTCGTATATCTAGAGAAAGATCAAACACCCAAAATTTCTATCTCATTTTCTCAGCGCTCAAGCACCGGATCCCTTAATTTTTCAGATGCCCATAGACATATTATTGGATAGTGTTCGAAACTTTTCTCCTCGACGCACCGGAACAGTACTTGTCGACGTACACCTGTTTTATTTGCTCATACATTTCTATTATGTCAAAGACTTAAGAGGCAGAAAAAACGTGTCAACCGTATTGCCGCACTCTTTATTTCAAAATTAATCCTGGACCTGATTGATGCAAATTGACATAGACTTGCATGTGGCAATCTTAAACGATTTTTTGAAGGGGAGAAAAAGAAAAATCGGCAAAGTGAACCACGACAAGGTGAGAGGCCAAGCTCGTCCTTTTTGCTCCTACTCTCCACCTCTCCCTTTACGATAAAAGTGACTGTGAGCTTGATGCTGGAGCACCCTTTGTAGATACTGTCGGGAGAGAGTTTTGCAAAATATAAAGTGGTTCGTAGCAGTTTATGGTATCAAGAGGCTCTCTTTTACATCCGCTTTGTATTATATGTGATTCCAGCTGGATTAATGTGCTGGGAGAAACCTTTATCGCATTAAGCTAAAGATAATTATAGTTAATAAAGTTTGTACCGCTTTCAAGATCAAAAAGTCATTCTAAGAAACCCGAAGTTTTGACTACATCGTATATCGAAAGTGAAGTCTACCTCTAGAAAACAGTAGGTTTATCTTGTACAATTCGATGTAGCTTGACAAAAAGTGATTGAAAATGTATTTTGAAAAACGCCAAAAATAAACCACCGGACAGCTTTGATTTCTTCGATGCAAGAAGTTCAAAAACTGCTAGGATGCTTGTGAGTTGATATGCTAATAATAAATGGATATATAGTATGCTATAATAACATATGGATATGCTTATTACAAAGATCTTATCCATTCCTTACGTTGGGGCCTTATTGTAGGACTACGGTAGATCTATGCTACAATAACAAGGATTTGTCTGCAAAGTGGTTCAGTGGCGTTGTTCGACATGTTCTTCAACGAAGTTTTCCCCGTGTCGCACAATAAAGCTACTGTGGAAACAGGGTGGGTGTACGAAGAAAGTTAATAGAATCTAGCGAAAAAAAGAGAACTTTGAGTCTACAGTGCAGAAAGGTACTAATATGGGGAATGGATATGATTTCATGATCAGCGTGTTATTTAACTGCGATAGACCACGCTCCACATAAATCAGTGAAATTTACCCCGCAAAGTACCCCTGACCCAATTCTACAATACTACAGTAAGGTGGTTTGTACCTTGGGAAACGGCTATGATTTTCGCAATCAACATAACCAATTACCTCACCAGGTATCGTTCTACTCGGTTTTTTCATAATCCAGAAATTGTCGGTTCAGCCTTTTGGAAAAACATTTTCAATCGTTTCTAATTCAACAAACCAAATCACCCAACAAGCCAAGCAGACTGCTGCATAGAAGTAGACTTCTATTTTCATACTATACAAAGTGCTACAAATTGGTTTTTTAAACATTTTTAACTTTAGAAATACCTTACGAACTTATCCAAAAGCCCAAAAAAGTTCTGAAAAAATTGTCTATGACTTTATTTCGTAGCTAAATAGTTCAGAGCCATTTTACGACGTTAGGCAACCATTAAACCATATCCAACCTTTCACCGTAATTCTCGCTTAACGCTAATAAGTATAAATATAAGATCCGTTTACATGCAAAAATCTATATTTGAGGTATCGTTAAAACAGTTCCATTAAGGTTTGACGGATATTGACAATGGAATGGCTTTCGAGACAATTTGCATTTATCCCTTCACATAATGCTTGAAAATTCGACATTCATTTCTATGTAGAAACGTGAACGCATTGGAAATAAGTGTACTTAGAGCAAAACGAATTATCATGCGAGCGCAGCCTTTAGGCAAGCTTGAAGAGTAACTTCATTGAAAAGGAAATTGAATCAAGCACAGTAAGGAATGGAAATGCATTGAATGTCACAAAAAAAAGTGTGACAATATCGGCAAAAATTCTCGAAGGTTACTTTCAAGCACAACGAAAGCCTTACAGCACTAGCATTGGCGCATTGCGCCGCTAATTATATGTCAGTACTGGTTTCCTATCTTAAAACCAGTTGTTCTAGAAGAACACTGAGAATTTAACTCCAAATGTTTACAGTTTTTACATTTCTTTTGATAATTTTCTATATGCTCTTGATTAGCGTTTCTAGAGTATCTTATGTAGTTTTCTGGAAAAGTACACTAGACTAGAATTAGGTACAACGACACTTTCACAAAATCGCTTCGAAATCCTGAAAAAAACCTACAGGTATATATTCTTCCAGTCGCCCTCCACTAAAAATCCCATAGAGCTTTGGCCCAAGATGACGTTCCGAAAGGAGCGTAAATATAACTGACTCGGCAACCAAATGACTCTCTGTTTCGGGATTGAAGTAAACTCGCAGCAGGACCTGAAAAGGGAAGAAGGAACGCTGATCCGCATCCATTAAAATTATTTCTGAAACAGGTTATTTCTAAACGGTGCGGTTTTCTACTAAAAAGTCAAATTATGTGTTTATTATGATATTCGAAGAAAGATTTTTGAAATTTTATCAATGTTTACCTCACCTTATCCGGCTCATTACGAATTGGTCGATGTGATTCTGAGAGCCGACACAAGAACAGCATGTTGCTCATTCCTCCTCTAAATGGAATCATTACAGTAAACTCAGCCAAAACACTGAAAATAAGCTAAAAGTAATCTACTTTATTCTGCTTATTCGCAATTGGTCCAACGGTACCGTCTTCCACGCTCCCCCAAGAAATCTCGCACAAAGCATATGTGTCCTTTGCTTCAGCTCTTTCACGTCATTCGCGTCCGTTTCCGGCTCCATGGTGGAAAGTAACTCCTTCATGCCTCTACATTGAAATTATGACATAATTAGAGCTATATCCCAGCTACAAAACACACCGAAAATGTCCCTCAGCTATGCTCATCCTGATGTTTCCTTTCTGAAAAAATTTTGAAGATTCACGACAGCTTTGAGAGGAAATGAACAGGATAACAAGCATAGCATTCAGTTAAATCGGATTCAGTAATAAATTCAATACATAACAGTGTAAACAGATCGCGGAAAAGCAGATATCAGCCACGTGTGTCGTATTTCTCTCTGAACATTGAATGCGAGCTGCATAAAAGAGTGACGGCGGGAGGAGCGGAGGTGAGCTCGACTGCTTGCATGGGAAAATGGCAAAATGGATAGCGGCACAGAGGATCGAAAACGAGGTAAATAAGGTTCTTACACTACAACAAACAACAAACGTCACTATCATTTCGCATACAGTTAACGTGACTTTTAGCTTAAACATAGTAAGAAAGTGAAATCAATTTCTAGTAGGCTGCAAATACTTGCTGATTTAAGAAGATAAAATTCAGACGGCATTACTCTGGAACTCCTTGTCAGTTCTTTACTATTCTTCACTGAATCTAATATTGATTACTTGTAATGATAATAAAGAAGGGAATCAAAGCATCTGCTGCTCAAAGAAACAGGTGTAATTAGTGGAGAATGTGATAAAAATATATCAAAAGATGTGCTTTCTATTCCAAAACTATTTTTTTCAATTAGATTTACGCCATTGCTTTTTCCAAAAATTCTTGACCATACTGAGTTTTTATTTGAGTACATTTCTCTCATTTTTGCATAATTCTCCAATTTCCTCTCACAGCAGTCCCTGAAGTCAGGATGCATTAGCGGAATTCAAGGATCCTCTAACAAAATCGATGCTCTTCCAAAAGTCTGACGTTAGTGAACGTTTATCATGATTCAGAACAGCGATGATGTATTTGTTCCTACAGTAAAAGTTGCGACAACGAAAGAATACATGGCTGTAAAGGAAAATTCTTCAAATTCCAGTTCGAGAGCTGATTTAACGAAAATTCGTTTTGGCATCTGTGGTCAGAAATACGTACAAAGAAGTATTTGCAAAATTATTATAAAGATCAATAAAGTTTGACGGATACAG